TCTCACATGTTCTCTAGCTACTGCTCCGTCTTTCTGCTCTCCTTCACAGCAAACAACCCAACACCTCTCCAAATTCACTTTCTATTCTTTAATGGACCCATTCAAACTGGGTCTCACTGTTGCCAGGTCCTAGAATCTGTTCTTGTCAAGGTCATGATGACCTCCATATACTGGTTAACCTACTGGTTGACCTACCAGTAGCTGCCACACAGTGGCCTCCTAATTGACTTTCCTATTTGTACCCAGGTCCCCCTTTAGTCTATTCTCAACACAGAAGCCACAGTGATTCTTTTAAGACCAAAATCAACTCATTTCATTCCTTTGCTCAGTAAATTCAGTATGAAATCCAAAATCCATACCATGTCCTAAAATCCTCCCTGAACTGACTTCTCAGGAACTCTGGAAACTTCTGTTACTGTCTCCTTCCCAGCTATGCTCCCAACAGACCTGGGAGTACTTCCATGCAGGACATTTCTGCAGGGAGTTCGCTCTACCTGGAAGGCTCTCTCCACTGTTATTATCTGCCCCTTCTAGCCCTCTTTCCATATTCACCATTAAATGGTACCCCTCAAAGGCAGGGAGGCTGGTCTCTGCTGGTAATCACACCGCTTTAGGACTGTGCTGGACCCATGGTGGGCCCTTATCCAATATTTGTTGAATGACTGGAAAAGTGCCATGCTTTGTCTTGAAATAATATTTGCTAGTATATAGCCACTATTCAAATTTCCCCAATTGTTCCAGTACTGTTTTTATGGCTTAACTTAAAAAAAAAATCCAAGATCTAATCAGGATCACACATTATCTTGTTTTTAAAGTTTGATTCGCTTTTAATACATCGATCACTACACTATCTCATGTCTATAATTTCTAAGAGAAGAGTAAAATATCCTCTCAGAAGATCAAATAAATGAGAAAATCTGTAGCAGGATAGTGAGAAACTAGGAAAATTACTGGGCAAGTGGGATGGGGAAACTGAGACAAGAAAATTAAACAAGGCCAAACAATTTGGGCAGTTTGCAGCCAGCTTGTGAATCACAAGCCCTTATCTTCCCCAACCAAGGACACTTGAGAGCAAGTGGTTTATACCTCTCCTCCACAGGTAGAGAGCATACATAGCTTAAATCACCCCCAGGTGTTGGAAAATAGAGAACAAAGACCCAATTAATGCCATTTCTGCCAGGGCCAGATAAAGTCTGGAGGACAAATAACAGAAACCCCTAAAAGTGGTATCACTTAAGGGCATAATGCTAGAGAGGATAAATAGCTTCTAGGGTAGGAGTAGGGGAAGGGGGGAATTTATCTCACTCACTGAAGAAAGAAGTCATCAGTCTCGGGATTTGCCAAGATAAAAGAGCCAGACCCTCTCATAAATTCTGAGGAAAGCTGCAACAATGTAAAAGGAGAACCTTGAAACTTATAGGGGGAAATAGTATAAAACTTTTGCACTCCCACCTGGTGGAACACTCAGACTAGCTGAGTTGCCTTTTTGTGCTTTATGCCAAGTGTACTTCCCTGCCCCTCCACTGAGCTACCCAGGCCAGGGCTTTCTCCTGACTTTTATTATTATTTTTTTAATTTAATATATCTTTATTGTTCAGATTATTACAATTGTTTCTCCTTTTTCTCTCCATAGCTCCCCTCCACCGGGTTCCCACCCCAGCCTCTGCCCTTACCTCCTCCCCAACTGTCCTCATCCATAGGTGTATGCTTTTTGTCCAATCTCTTCCCCCCCCCCCACCTTCTTTCCCCTGAAAATTATCAGTCCACTCCTTTCTGTGCCCCTGATTCTATTACATTCACCAGTTTATTCTGTTCCTCAGATTTTTTTTTGTTCATTTTTTTAAAATATATTTTTTTAAATTGATTTTGTACAGAGAGGAAGGGAGAGAGAGAGTTAGAAACATCGATGAGAGAGAGTCATCAATCAGCTGCCTCTTGCACACCCCCTACTGGGGATATGCCCGAAACCAAGGTACATGTCCTTGACCGGAATCGAACCCGGGACCCTTCAGTCCCCAAGCCGATGCTCTATCCATTGAGCCAAACCGGTTTTGGCTGTTCCTCAGATTTTTAATTCACTTGATTTTTAGATTCACTTGTTGATAGATATGTATTTGTTGTTCATAGTTTTTATATTTACTTTCTTCTTCTTCCTCTTCTTAAAGAATACCTTTCAGCATTTCATATAATTAGGTTTGGTGGTGATGAACTCCTTTAGCTTTTTCTTATCTGTGAAGCTCTTTATCTGCCCTTTAATTCTGAATGATAGCCTTGCTGGGTAGAGTATGCCAAGTGTATTCTCAGTAAATCTGCTTGTTTTGCTTCCCTAATAAACTCTCTTGCTTTGCTTCAACACTGTTTGTCACTTGTCTGGATTCTTTCTCATAAGATGATAAGGGCCAAGAAGGGGAGGGCCCGTTCTGACTTGGGCAGTTCTCTGGTAACAAATCTATCAGTTCCACTTCTATTTTTCTCTTGGAGGTACCCTCTCAAAGATCTCTATCCAAACAAGTTGTGTCTCCTGGGGTGGCTGCACAGCTTCCCCCTGTATTTCCCTTCACCACCATCTGAGACTTTCCTCACCCTCTTTCCTAGGTTGGATTCCATGTGGCCCGGATCTCAGGTTTCCCTCTGTCTTGATTTAATCCCTTGTTTTTGTAGAAAACTTCTTCCAGTAGATCCTTGTGGAAGAGTGTGCATTATAGGTACGTTTTCTGATAATTTGCCTGTTTGAAAAGACCTTTATTCTACTCTCAAACTCTACTGAGAGGTAAGCTGGATTTAGAATTCCAGGTGTAAAAATAACTTACCCTTAATATTTTGAAGGCATTGTTTGACTTCTAGTTTGCAATGTGGTTTATGTAGATCTCCCATATGTTCTGATTACTTGTTGTATGTGTATAACTGAGTCCCCTGCCTCCACAAGGCTTTTAGGATTATTTATTTATCCCTCATATTTTGAAATTGTACACTAATATGCCTTGTAAATTCATTTATTTCAGCTTGGGCAAATGTTCTTTTATTATTTATCCAATAACTAGAAGCCCATTGCCGGAAGATTCCTGCAAGAGAGCTTCCTGTGGCAGTCTCCACTGCCCCACCTGCTTCCCTCTCTTCTCCCCTGCCCCACCTATTTGCTCTGCAGCTTCACTCCCTTATGCAGCACTTGACTTCCTTCTACGCTGCCTTCAGTCTTCACTCTGTGCCTGGATATGCAAACTAACTGCCATCTTGATTGGGTTAATTTGCATACACACTCCTGATTGACTGGTGGGTGTGGCTTGTGGTTGTGGTGGTGGTACAGTCAATTTTCATGTTTCTCTTTCTTTTTTTAATATGTTTTTTTTTTTTAAATATATTTCATTGATTCTTTACAGAGAGGAAGAGAGAGGGACAGAGAGTCAGAAACATTGATGAGAGAGAAACATCGACCAGCTGCCTCCTGCACACCCCCCACCGGGGATGTGCCCGCAACCAAGATACATGCCCTTGACGGGAATCGACTTGGGACCCTTCAGTCTGCAGGCTGATGCTCTATCCACTGAGCAAACCGGTCTCTGCTTCATATTTCTCTTTTATTAGATAGGATTTTCTTCCTTTGTGTTATTCTCATTTCTCTTCCTGAGACTTCTATTACTGTACTGTTGGGGAGTACAGTAATAGATTTATTACTGGATTTATCTCCTAATATTTCTATAAATTTTTTTCTTATTTTCTTCCTTTTTGTTTTTTATTTTATTTTGTGAGAAGTTTGAAAAATGATCTTCTAACCTTTCTACTGAGATAGTTTTTATTCTACTTATTAGTGGCCTGGTACACGAAATTTGTGCAAGGGGGGGTAGAGGGGTGTCCCTCAGCCCAGCCTACACCCTCTCCAATCTGGGACCCCTCAAGGGATGTCTGACTGCCCGATCCTACTTGGATCGGGCCTAAATGAGCAGTCGGATATCCCTCTCACAATCCAGGACTACTGGCTCCCAACTGCTCCCCTGACTGCCTTCCTGATTGCCCCTAATCACTTCTGCCTTCCAGCCTAATCACCCCCTAACCACTCCCCTACCAGCCTGATTGATGCCTAACTGCTACCCTGCCTGACTGTTTGCCCCTAACTACCCTCCTCTGCAGGCCTGGTCCCCCCCAACTGCTCTCCCCTGCAGGCCTGGGTCCCCACCAACTGCCCTTTCCTGCAGGCCTGGTTGTCCGTAACTTACTTCTTTTGCCAGCCTGGTCATCCCTAACTGCCCTCACCTGCAGGCTTGATTGCCCCCAACTGCCCTCACCTCCAGGCTTGATTGCCCTCAACTGCCCTTCCTTGTAGTCCTGGTCCTTCCCAACTGCCTTCCCCTGCTTGCCTGATTGCCCAAAACTGCCCTCCCATGCTGGTCATCTTGTGGTGGCCATCTTGTATCTACATGGGGGCAGCCATCTTATGTGTTGGTGTGATGGTCAATTTGCATATTTACTCTTTTATTAGATAGGATAGAGGCCTGGTGCATGGGTGAAGACCAGCTGGTTTGCCCTGAAGGGTGTCCTGGATCAAGGTGGGGGTTCCCTTGGGGCATGGGGCAGCCTGGGCGAGGGGCCTGTGTGGTTTTCAGGCCTTCCACACCCCCTGGTGACCCAAGTGGAGTCCCTGGTATCTGGGATTTATTTATCTTCTATAATTGAAACTTTGTAGCCTTGAGTGGAGGCCTGGGCTGGTTTTGGTGTGTGGAAAGCTTGGCTTCCTCCATTGCTGAGAAAAACCCAAGCCTCCCTCTTGCTCTCTGTGGCCCCAGCCATCTTGGTTGGGCTAAATTTGCATACTCACTCCTGATTGGCTTGTTGGAGTGGCTGGTGAGTGTAGCAGAGTGATGGTTAATTTACATATTAATCTTTTATTAGTTAGGATTATACTTTTAGTTTCCAAAAGCCCTTTCTTTTTCTGATTGCTTCTTAGGAAAAAAAAAAAGTTTTAATAACACCTTATTCTAATGGTATGGTGTCCATTAATTTTTCTTCTTTTTTAGAGGATACTAGTGAGTTTCTTTGAAATTTCTTTTGTTGTCTGTCTGCATTGTCTCTTTGTCTTCTAAGATTATTTTTTTTCCTTTTTGTTTGGACTGTATCTGTTATGTTGGAGTCTTTCCTAAAATATCTGCTGGCCCTTGGCTGTCTGCATTTAAGAGTGAGTATTGAAAAATCTGATTTTGGTGGGAAGGGTAAATTCTAATGAATGGTGAGTTTTACTGGAGGATTAAGAAGCTAGGAGTGCCAAAACCGGTTTGGCTCAGTGGATAGAGCGTCGGAATGTAGACTGGGGGGTCTAGGTTTGATTCCGGTCTGGGGCATGTACACCCCCTGGTGGGGGGTGTTCAGGAGGCAGCTGGTCGATGGTTCTCTCCCATCGATGTTTCTAACTCTCTATCCCTCTCCCTTCCTCTCTGTAAAAAAATCAATAAAAATATATTAAAAAAAAAAAAAAAAGAAGAAGAAGAAGAAGCTGGGAGTGAGCAGACTTCTCGTGGGCTTGCCCAATGTTAGCATTCAGAGGATCCACCACTTTCTAGCTTTAAAAGGAGCAAGTCAACCAGGTCTGACAGCTTTCTGGGAAATGCGTGGGCAAAAAGGCTGGAAGGCCTTGCAGACTGTTTTGTAGTATGAGTAGGGGGAAAAAAAAAAGGGGGTGGGGGGAAGGGTTCTATGGAGAGTAACCTCACAGGGTGATCTGATCATAAATTCCCAACTGTGCAGGTTATGTACGGCGAGGACTCATGCCCCAAGACTATACCTTTTTAGTAAAAGGTTTATCTTTGCCTTAAGCAACCTCTGTTATTTCTGTGCATCCAGGTTGACACATATAGGAAAAAACAAAAGAGCACAAAATCTTGTTAAATATTTTATAATCCAGTCCCCACTTTGCTTTTCCCACCGCCACGTAATTTTCCCTAAATTTCCTCCTTAACTTCAACTGCATTAAAGAAACTGCAAAACGTATTCTCCGGAGCATTTGAGATCGTGCTTGCTGGCACATGTCATCAGTTTGGCTCAAATACGCTCATCAAAATTCTCCACAGGTTTGGGTATTTCTTACATTGACCAGTAGGTTTCTCCCATTTTTATTCTATTTTCAGTCCACCCTTGCCCCTGCCTTTCCAGGCCCAGAGGCAGGGAGTTGTGGGGGTGAGGGCCTGGGGTGGGGGGTTATTTTGATCTCTGAGTCACCACCCCACTTCCTTCTCTCCCTGAATTCTGATGTGGAATAGGCTTGTTTTTCACTTATGCCCCTCTTAGCTTTTTCCTAGGTTAGTCACACTCAGCCATTGGTTGCCAGCTTCCTAAAAATGTGATCTTTTTGTTCTTGCTAGTAGTTTCAGAAAGAGGCTCAGGTAAAAGCCAGACACCAGGGGAAGGCAGAGGGACCCCTCAAAGACCTCTGAGATCCAAAAGCTCCTAGTCATGCTTGAGGGTGGGCATTTCGAAGAGATACTTGCCCAGCCCAGCCTGGAGGGCAGCCAGCCCGCAGAGGTGAGTCAAGTGTAGCCCATCTTCTTGATGACTTTCACCTTCTCACCCTGGAAATGGTTCTGCAGGAAGTCACAGAGCCGAGGGTCTGCACAGGTAGAATTCTGGACCTGCAGCTCCAAGAGGGCCTGGGTCAGGTTCTTCTCTCCAAGACCAGGGCGGCTTCCATGGGCCCTGAGTTTTGCCCACTCATCTTCAGCACATCCTGGAGAGAATGCAGTCAATCCTGCTGGTTTTGCAGCTTTAAGAGATGCTCAACTCCCATGTGCTTCTTCTCCACCAACTTGTGGAAGAAATGGCCCACATCCTCAAGAGCCATATCACCCCATGGAAATGAAAGTCCAGAGAGAGGTAGGTGCAGGAGGCCTGCAGTGGCAGGCTGGCCAGGAGGTTGGCTGCAGCCTCCACCTTGGTGGAATAATTCTGATGATTTTGGGAGCTCATGGTTGTTTGGCTATGAGTTAAGGTAGGAAAAAAAACAATGATGTTGGCTGGTCTCAGAGGTGGTTCTGAAGCTGGTTACTGCCTAAGGAGCAGGGGGTGGATGGAGGCTGGAAGAAGGGGGGCGTCTCTGGGTCTGTTCTGTCCAAATGCTGTTGAAGCAAGAGACAGATTCGGGACCGCTGAGGGCACTGCCCCTTTTCTGTCTCTTGAGGACCATATGGAAGAGTTCAATTCTCCATCTTTTTGATAACTAATAATTTTGCTATCACACTAAAGGGGTTCGGTTGCTTGTGTGCATCAAAGCCCAATAAAATTCTAGCAGGAGTTTGCAGCAAAGAGATCAGGGGTTTATGAGTTCAGGAAATAGTGCCAAGTTTGGAGACACAGGTGAGCTAGTGCTCTAAAACCTGGCTCCCTGATGGCCTGCACTGGGACAGATTATACACAGGAAACATTATTAATCATGGTGATTAAGAGGGTGGGGGCCAGGGTAGGGAATCGTTGATTACTGTGCAGGTCCTGATGTCAGCTATGGTGTCATTCTGTCTGGTTTCATGAGGGCGTGGCTTGTAGGGTCTTTCCACTTCCATGCACCTGGGGCTGGAACACAACTTAAGTCAAGATGCTATCTTTCGTTTGAGGGAAACTCTGTGTCTGAGGTAAAAGACCCCCAGGCTTTGATTTAAAAAAAATTATTTTATTTTTTATTTCTTGCTAATTCTCACCTAAGGGTATTTTCCCATTGATTTTCTTTTTAGAGAGAGTGGGAGAGAGGGGGAGAGACACACAGAGAGAAAACCTTGATGTAAGTAAGCGACACCCATTGATTGGACTGGCTACTGCCACACTCACCAGGACCAGCGCTGGGGACGGAGCCTGCAACCCAGGTACATGCCCTATCCAGAATCAAATCCGCGATCCTTCCCTTCAGTGCACAGGCCGATGCTCTATCCACTGAGCAAAACCGGCGAGGGCCTAAGGCTTTGTTCCTAAGACAGTTTGATGTGGAATCAGAATCGGATGTGTTGTGGATCTAACGATTAAGGAAGGGAGTGGACGGACAGGAAGGAGAAAGAGTCAAGAAGAAATGGAGTCTCTGTGCAGATACAATTATTTATTATTAAACTTTTTAGATCGTCACGGCACGGTTTTCCAATCACATATATAATTAAATCTGCCCATACTTTATTTCATTGTGGAAATAAATGCTCCACCACTTAAAAGAAGTTAATATGTACTAGTGCCATCTAGTGGACAATGTGAATTTAGCACCATAGGCTTTAAAACTGACGGGGCACCTTCTGAAATGTCGGAAAAGAGCGAGAAAGCATCAATTACTCAGTCCATAGTGTCTCTCTTCAAATCCCCGTAGATCCATGGTCGGCAAACTGTGGCTTGCGAGCCACGTGCGGCTCTTTGGCCCCTTGAGTGTGGCTCTTCCACAAAATACCATGGCCTGGGCGAGTCTATGTTGAAGAAGTGGCATTAGAAGAAGTTTACGTTTTAAAAATTTGGCTCTCAAAAGAAATTTTAATCGTTGTACTGTTGATATTTGGCTCTGTTGACTAATGAGTTTGCCGACCACTGGCCTAGATAAAAGTGTCTCTTCTATTATATGGAGAGAACACGCACACTTATTTCGGTACCAATTTTATTTCATCTTTACGGCTATGTTAAAGTTTTACTCTTAAAAAAATTTTTTTTTTCTAATATCCTTATGGGAGATGAAAAATTAACTGACCTGTTACCCTTTATTTAAAACAGTCTTTTTATTCAATGAGGATCCAATTCTATTTTTTCTCTCGTGGGATGTTTCACAAGTCCACGGCTGGCTTTTCCAAAGAATTAATTGAGAAGGAAATGGCAGAGATGATTAGGCTGCTGCACCGGGTAAAACGGTAGAGGCCAGGCTCGGAGGTATCCTGGGCAGCGAATTATGCTGCTCTGTGGTTATTAAGGCTTCATGCTTCACTGGTGAATTGAAAAGACATACATTGTCCAGTCTCGCAATCTTACCCTCAATAATTTACTTAAAACAAACAAACACAAAAAACAAAAAGGGATCTGAAAATTTCAGGCAGAAATTTAAAATTACTTTTCTTTTCATAACTCCAAGAGAATTTTATATCTGTAATGGCAGAACCTGCTATAGATATTCCTAAGCTTCAATTCTGCCAACTCCTGAGAGTTCCCATAGCGTCAAAATACATGAATCTCCAGTGCTTGAACCAAGTGCAAAGCAATTAAGCTTTTAACTTGATCAACTGTGAGCTGAAATCTGCTACATAATTGAAATGCTATCTGTAGTGGCCAAGTGCCATTTTTAGTCCTCAATCAAAATAGCTTTGCCCAGTTGGTTTGGCTCAGTGGATAGAGCATTGGCCTGCTGACTGAAGGGTCCTGGGTTCAATTCTGGTCTAAGGGCACATGCCTGGGTTGAGGGGTCAGTCCCCAGTAGGGGACATGCAGGAGGCAACTGATCCATGATTATCTCTCATCATTGATACTTCTCTCTCCCTCTTCCTTACTCTCGGAAATCAATAGAAATATATTAAAAAAATAACAAACAGCTTTGGTGCCTTCCAGAATTTTTCTTAGGTTGATTTACCAAATAGTTTTGAATCAGGATAGTATAGCTGCTTTTGCTCTTGCAGTGAGATGGAATTGGAATATTTCCTTACCATAAAAAAATGTTGAACAGCTGACATGTTCTAGCTCTTATTCTAGGCCCATCTGTTTATATGGCTTCAAAACAAACAATTGTTGCTTGGTTTGGTTACTAAGTCATTAAATAACACCGGTAGATGTAATTTATTGCTTTGTAGTTGAAAAAGAAAAAGAAGTATACTAGTATATGTATGTCAGGTAACTAGCATTCTAAATATTAATGGCCCGAAGATTGAAAGGATCAACCTTAAGTCTCAGAAACTTGAAGAGCTGTGAGGGAGACATAACCTTCATCAGTAAATGAATGTCACGAACAAACAAGTGAGTGTGATAGCAATATTATTGGCGGCAGGAGCAGCAGCTGACATGTATTGAGTGCCTGCATGCCAGACAGTGTTCTGAATGCTCACTTGTAATCATGCTTTTAATCTTCCCATCAGCCTGAGGAAGTAGCACTATTGCTATACCTAGTTCCTAGACCCGTGGTCAGCAAACTCGAGAGCCACATGCAGCTCTTTGGGCTCTTGAGTCTGGCTCTTCCACAAAATACACGGCCTAGGCGAGTCTATTTTGAAGAAGTAGTGTTAGAAGAAGTTTAAGTTTAAAACATTTGGTTCTCAAAAGAAATTTCAATCGTTGTACTGTTGATACTTGGCTCTGTTGACTAATGAGTTTGCCAACCACTGTCCTAGGCAAAATCAAGGCACAGAGTGGTTACACTGCATGCCCACTAACCGAGAGGCTGAGTAGGGAGCAGACTATTTGGAGTGCCCTTTGGTCTCTTGGCTGGTTTGGGTTTTGGTTAGCACCGTCTGATGGAGGATCCTGGGAGGACCATGAAGGTCCCTTTGGTAGAAGCAGGGCACAGTCAGCATTGGATCACTCTGGCCTGGGGTCCAGGTAGGGTGTGGCGGTGTTTGTGCAAGGATGAAGCTGAGTGAACAGGGCTCGCTCTGGGTCCCTGACTGATCAGCTTTGAGTACACAGGGGGAAAGTGTGTAATTTTTAATGGTGAAAGGTAGAGGAAG